GGACACCGGAAGGAACCAGAGTACTTTTTTACAAAAATAAAGATACGTATTTCGTGGAAACCACTTAAGATGAAGGCACGTGAAGTCAAAAACCAACTCCGAGCATGAAAAGTGAGGTTGTGCCAAAAAGTGACAAACGGGGAAAAGACGAAATAGGGAAAGGACGAAAAGTGAATAGTGTCCAAAAAGTAAAAATGTGGAAATGACTCGGTCCTCAGAGGAAGTTGTCAATCCGAACGAAAGAGTCTCAGAAACCATTTCCGAGCACTCGAGACGACCCTCAGTGATGAGAAACAGAACTCAGAAAAGAAAATTAAACAAAAAAAAAAATTTATCCGTAAAATTTCAGAGAAAAAAAAGGAAGGAAAATGACCGGGTCATTACAGTCTGATCATTTGACATCAAGAGAGAACATTTTCGTCCTCAAGAGGATGATGAAGCACTCATTGGTCCTGAAGTGTCATATCTCAGTGCAATTGGTGCTCTTATGTATCTTGCAAATTGCATACGGCCGGACATAGCATTTTCAGTCAATTTATTAACAAGATACAGTTCTGTACCAACCTGCAGACATTGGAATGGAATCAAGAATATATTATGATATCTTCGTAGTACAATTGCTATGGGATTGTTTTATTCAAAAGAATCAAACTCCCAGTTAATTGGATATGCAGATGCTGGTTATCTTTCTGATCCACACAATGCTCATTCACAAACAAGATATGTGTTTACCTGTGGTGGCACTGCTATATCATGAAGATCTATAAAATAGACAATGATTGCAACTTCTTCAAATCATTCAAAGATACTCGCAATTCATAAGGCAAGGAGAGAATGCATTTGGTTGAGATCTATGATCCAGCATATTCGAACAACATGTGGTCTTTTATCAATAAAAGATAGCCCAACAGTATTATATGAAGATAATGTTACATGCATTGCACATATGAAAAAGGGTTATATCAAAAGTAACAGGACCAAGCACATCTCACCAAAATTCTTTTATGCATATGAACGTCAAAAGAATGGTGATATTGATATTCAGCAGATACGTTCAAACGAAAATTTAGCAGACATGTTTACTAAAGCACTACTAACTACGACGTTCAAAAGGTTGGTACACAATATTGGAATGCGTCAACTCAAGGATCTTTACTGTTGAACTAATACAGCAACAAGGGGGAGCACTGAATTGAAAAGATATTGGTATACTGTACTTTTTTTACTTCGCTCAGGTTTTGTCCCACTGGATGTTTCTGACAATGTTTTAATGAGGTAGTTTTAACCTATACAATACCATTTTCATATACACAAGAATATTGTACTCTTTTTTCCTTCGCTAAGTTTTTATCCCATTGAGTTTTTCTTAACAAGGTTTTAACGAGGCATATTCTTAGTATTGTGTAGTGAACCCCAAGGGGGAGTGTTATATATATGGTGTCCACTAATTAGGTATAGTGTTGAATTAATTTGTGCACTAAATAAGTGATAAATGCACTCGGTTAATGGTGCACTAAATAAGTAGTAAATGCATTTGGTTAATGGTGCAATAAATAAGAGGTAAATGCACTTGGTTAATGGTGAACTATGGGCGGTGATTAAGGCAAGAGTTTTGGCTATAAATATGGTTGCTCCTTGGTATATTGATGTACGAAAGATTTTGAGAACTAAATAAATTCTCTCTCTTCATTTCTATATTCTTCTCTTTATTATGAGTATCACTTAGTGTTCTATATTTTCTCTATATTCATAATATGTAGAATATTTCTATATATTCTTTATTCCATTTCTCCTCCAATGTCATTAATGATGAAATCTGTTCTCATATGTTATTAGAATTTTACATTGTGAGTTTGTGATTTTTGAGGATACACAATATATATTAACAGTTATGTCTTTTTAGATCTCTTTCTAATTATTATCAATTAATCATTCCTTCTAAATTAACACGTTATATTTACAGTTTAAAGCAGTTATTTTTATATAAAAAATTATTTACGTGACTTTTCAGGTTCTAAAAGTCATCAATAATTAGGTATTAACTGCCATTTAAGAATTTTGTGTTTTCAAAATATTTTAATGCGGAAGAGTTATGACTTTTAAAAATCTCTTGCTAATTAGTATTTTTAAGTACAATTATTGTTGTTATTTCTTAATAGTTTAATACTTACTATTATTTAAGAGTTGTATCTCCTCAAATCTCTTTTTAATTGGTATTAATAATTAATAAATTAACGGTTATGAATTATCACATCTATTTTTATATAAAGGAGTTTGTGCCTTTTAAAAATATTTTTTAAAATAGATGTTACTTTTTGTGAGCTACAGTTCCTTAAGTGTCCATTTATTTTGGGACATAGGTAGTATAGGGATATATGAAAAATAAAACCATGATTACCTTCACAATTGTTGCAATTTATATATATATAAAACTTTTTGTTAAAGAAAAAAAAAATTATTTCTTTATTTTCATTCTTACACTGATACAATACATTTCACTTCACTTCTTTTAATTTTTTTTCCTCTCCTTTTCAATATCTTTTATAAAAATTTAATCTTGAGTTTAGTTTGAAGAGTAGTGTTGCATGAGATCTTTGGCTTTCCAAATGGATCAATTAGAGGTTTGCAATTCACGCATTTTGTTAATATATGGTTCTTGCTTTTATTTTTTATTCTACTCTTAAGTTACTTGCATTTGTTTGTGACAATCACATGTATGCCTTAGACACACACACACACAACTATATAATTAACTTAATAATTTTATAAATTTGACCTACTTATAAATTATATTTTTAAAAGAATTGCTTATTACTGTGATAATTATTTGATCAATATTTTTTTATATATAAATTATATTTAGATGATCATCATTAATTTTTTTATTTTTTTTATTTTTTAAAGCCTGTTATACTCTTGCATTCAAGGAACTCGACCTCAACTTGCAAATTTTCATTGGTGGGAATAACATCTCCTCTCATTGGTGGGAATAGCATCTCCACTTCTAGGTATCCTTCTTTTTCGCAATTCTCCTATCTTTTTGTATTGCAAATTAATAAATGAATTGTGTTATTTTAAATGTGTATAGCATTTCGTTATCAACAATCATACAATAACTCAACGTCTCTTCAAAATTTCTATATTATATATTCTATACATATTTTTTTAAACAACCAAGTGGAGTAACATTGAGTTTGTCTTTCTTTTTTTTTTTTCAGTAAATACATTGAGTTTGATCTTATAATCCAAATAATTTTCCTTTTACTATATTTTAATGTTTTTGTAATTTCATAAAGTTAATTCTCTTGGATCATATTTTAAGAAATTTTTATAATATAATATATTATATATATATATATATATATATATATATATATATATATATATCATAATTTTTTATTTTTTTTTTACATTTTTTTTTTCCTTTGAAGAGATAAAGAGAGTTTCATTTTTTTTTTAACTAAATTTTGAATGTTATATATCATAATCATTTTAAAATAAAATATTTCATAATGCTTTTCTATTTTATTTACGTGCATTGCAAGGGTCTCTTTCTAGTGTGTGTGTACATATATATATATTTTAGTTAAGGGTGAAATTAAACTGTGAGTCGGTTCTTTATTTTTTAAAAATTATGACTGGACCAAGCCATAACAGAATCGGACCCAGTTTGGTCGTGAGCTACTTTTGTTAATGCAATATATATATATATATATATATATATATATATATATATATGAATAAATAAATAAAATAAAAAGACAAAGAAAATTAATTATATATATATATATAACTGATCGAACTATAGCTGTATCGGACCAAACCATACAATCCAGTTCAGAACTTTCGACTGATTCATCGGTTCTAAGGATTAAAAAAAAAAAAAAAAAAAAAAAAAAAAAAAAAAAAAAAAAAAAAAAAACCATACAATCCAGTTCAGAACTTTCGACTGATTCATCGGTTCTAAGGATTAAAAAAAAAAAAAAAAAAAAAAACTTTAATGGAAGTGCAAAGTACTCATCAATGTTGAAAAAAAAATTGGAGAGAGCAAATCGGTGGCATTTCAATGATATTGATCTTTGAAGAGAAGACTGTCATACAGAACATCCTACTACTAAAGATGGTAAGGTTCTTGAATCAAACGTGACACAATAATCTCTAATGGTTAAAAATACGAACTCACATGATAATGTCTTTGGAGTTCGTCTTTCCATCTATTGATACCCTGATACCTGAAGCCAAAAGAAAAAATATTGTCAATCCTAATTCATTGACATGCATATGCTTTATAGGGAAAAATAACCCTAACTTTGACCGTCACCCTTACTAAACTGAACTGAACTGAACTGTTTCCTTAAACTTTGTTGAAAAAAGCGCAACGTCCGCTCAACCAACTCCGTTAATGATAAGAAAACAAATTTCAACAATTGACATGGGCTGAACCGACTTGATTCCAATCGACAACCATAAATAAGGCACCGAGCCATTAAATCAGGTATGAGAAAAAACTCCTAAACATTCAATAAATCAGGTATGAGAAAAAACTCCTAAACATTCAATACAAATTTTAATTCTTCTGCTATACGATTACAAGTACTACCTTGATTGTCGAAGGATCCTCGGCCGGCACCTCACCGTGCCATTCGAGATGATGTTTGTAGGTAAACGCTGATGTTTCGGGTCCCAAAGATTTTTGCATCAACATGCCCAATTATCAATCCAGCCACACACTAAGGGCTGTTTAGACCAACTTAATACCTAAACTACATAGAAGAGACAAAAACTAAAAGAACAGCCAACTCTCAGTCTCTTAACATTTTTGGGCCAAAGTTATCCTTCATTTGAAAAAATATTTTGCTGTAAACAAGAAAACACACAAGCAATTACAAGTCACAAGGAAGGAATTTAGAATGTTGAGGATTTAAGTTTGGTCGGAAGCAAAATTTTAAAACCACAAGACTTTAAAAAGGCTTTCATTTTGGAGAATCAGTAAACGAATATTGAGAATCTTAAAAGATCATTTCCTTGATAATGCTCAACCAGTCTACAATTCTAGCAAATGCCACAGTAATCTCAAATGAAATACAGCATCTTTCCCTAGCTCTGTTCTTTTACAGCCGAAGCAGCCTTTACTCCATATTTAGAGAACACACCAGTAAGCACAGCCTTCTCCTTGATCTTTAACCTGCGTCACGGTGTACATTCAATTGATGAGGAAAAACGAAGAAAATAATAATAATGAAAATAGAAGTAGCAAAGTATGCCTTTAATAGACATAAATGCAGGTAATGAACATAAATCCCACCTATGTACAGATCCTGGAATGTTCCATTTTGGAGTCTTTTCTACTTTTCTTTTTGCTACTAGCTTTTTCTCTTTCGCTCGGGTTTTCTGTTGCTGCTTTGAGGTTGGTGAATTGGTTGCAGACTCCGCTCTTGGTTCCATATTATCACCACTTTCGGGTTCTGATGAACTGAAAGAGTCGATGCTTTCTAAACTGTCTCCTTCCCAATGTACTGATAGATGATCATCATCTGCACCCTCATATTCATCAGAGGCAGTTTCCTTCAATGAATCAACAGAAGGATCATCCACGTCAAAATCAGAACCTGAGTCCAGGCTGAGAATTGGAAGTTGAGGAACATTAAAGGTCCCATCTGGTGACTGTTCATTAGCATGCACTGGAGAGTTTGGATTCATCATCTCACATCTTATCTGTTTCTGAATTTTTCCAAAAGTTATACTTTGTCCGGAAAATGCCTGTACAAACCTGCCATGATTGAAATGACATCTCAATAAGATTTAGCAGATAATGAAAGCATTCAATATCTTTGAAAATGCAGCTAGATCATCTCTATTTTGAGATGCAATATCTAACATTAATTTAATAACTGAATACACATGCAAAAGCTACACAAAATCAAATAACTAGTCCTTGTCTGCCCCCCATGCTTCAAAAAGAAAAAGGGCAGGAGAAAAATGAAAGAAAGAAAGAAAATAGATTGGAAATCTATGTTACATGGAATCGGGTACATGTTTCGGGTGCGGATATGTATCCAAACGTTGGACGTGTAAAATCTCCAAACAGAAAAACACAGAGGCACAACTAGATATTCATATTATTTAATATTTTATTATATTGTCTGGAGTAAAATAATATCTTAATGTAATATATTGCAAGATATAGGAATTTCACTCTTTTTTATATTTTTTATTTTTAAGTATAAGCATTCCACTCATTTTTAAGCAATAATATGATAAAATTGACTTATTGGATATACTTCTTAGGTACATATCGAACCAAAAGTGTTTTGGAGACATTTCAAATCCATGTCCAAGCATTTTGTTTCCCCTGTGGGTACTCCATGTACTTTTGAACAGTCCATGAAATATAGCTGAAAATATTTTGCGAACAATAGTTGTTCTCCGTCTTAAAAAGATCTTTTTAATCCTACCATGATAGAAATAACTTCTTACTCAAATTTAAAAAAGAAAGCAAACATTGGATCTCTTTTAAAAAAGGACATGGATCGCAATCAAATATGCATGCAAACTCAGACAAACTGAAAATAGTCATCTTTAGTGTGTTTGGGGAACAACTCAACTCTACCCTTCCTTACACTCTCACTTAAAAAGAAAAAAAAAAAAAAAGGGGGAAAAGATAAAGAGAAGAACAAATTCAAAGCCTTCTGCCATGTCACTGTTCTCATATCACGGAATTAGTGAGTTAGATTTTACAAGAACTTCAAATGTATTCTATAACCCACCTTCCCTACCCACATTCACACACAACACTGCAAAAAGCAAAAACATTTTTTTTGGGGGGGGGGGGGGGGGGGGGGCGAGAGAGATTTATTTTCCTTTTCGTATTCAGAATATGGTATACCTATTAGCTTCATCCTCAGACTTGAAATCAACAAAGGCAACTCCCTTACAGATTGGGTCCCTAGTCTTTTTGCTTCCAGAAACAGCTGGGATTATATTTACTATTCCAGGTACTCCTTTAAAAGCCAATTGCAGATCTCGGTGGATTTTCTTTTTCTTGGGCAGGTTGACCAAACGTACACGAAGACCACTCGGAACAACTTCAGAAGCTGTAAAACTCCAGTATAATACTACCAGGTCAGACTTGAGCAAGTAGAATACTACTAATATATACAAGTGGAATAATATAATACTAATATACAAAATGCCATAACACAATCTCAAAAGCATATCCTAGTTGCTGTTAAAACTTAGAAGATGCATGCCAAGTGCTGGATCATTACACCCATGAAATTTAAATGTATCAATGGAACTAAAATATCAATTCTTAACATGTCCCCATTCACAAGATACGTGGCATGTTCGTCTTTTCCAGCATGATATTTCTTTATGGCTTAAGTGCTTAAAGATTCTGAATTCTGATCAACAGAATCTATTTTTGGTAGATTTTTTTATTAATTTTGACTTTCTCCCTCTTAATTGTATTGTTAGAATGCAATATTTTGCTAGTCTTAATAACTATGTTATGAATAATAACAATCTAGTTGAAACTTGATCCAATATAACATGTTTGACACAATCAGTTCCAATTACTCTTTCAGCATAACTGTGATATATTTTAAAATGCATTACTGATTTACTTCAAAATTAAACTATTTGTATGAAAACTAGGTTAAGATTAATACAGTACACTGGATTGATTTTTATTATTGCTTGTCTATTAGTTAGATTCATTATATTAAGTTTATAGCAATCTTAAAAACAACCAGCAAAAATCCACAAAGCGTAAGCTTTATCATTTAAGAAACTAAACTTTACGCAGAGCTATATTAGTTGATCATATACTATTACAGTACATTTGCATATGAAAATAGCTAGTTAAAACATTAAGAAACAAACAAAATTCACCTAGTTAGTTATCATATATTGCTACCAACACCGGTATAATCCAGCAGGTAAATGCCCATTTTAGCATGTCCAAAACTATGATAAATTTTTTATTTTTAATTATATTATTATAGACGAAGAAAATGTAATAAAAATACAATGAAAACCCAATATTTTGTGAATAATTCCAGAAGTAACTAGACCTTAACGGCAGTTAATAAGAAATGCAATAAAAGGGTAATTTGATTCAAATTGTGGAATGGACAGGAAGTCTTCTAAAATGGTTAAGTAATGTACAACAAAGACCTGCACCTCTACATGGGGATATTCGATTCGAATTGAACACACTAAAATTGCAAAGAAAGCAGATAGTGATACGGAATATTCAACCGGTTAGGAAGTCCAAGAGCCGCGGGAGCCCAATAGGTCGGATAGACTACGAGTGGTAGAGATAACGACGACTACCTTTCCCAATCACTCTCCTGTGTCGTGATGGAGAAGTCAAGGGAACTAGTTCCCTAGGTGGATACTACTACCAAGACCCTCTATAAAGGAGGGGTTGGTCAACCCATTAAGGGACGGCACACAATTCCCGAAGCAACTTCGATTACCCTTTCTTTCTTTGCAGATACGACATCGTTCCTAGTCACCACAGAATCTGGCATCAACAGATAGGTACAAGAGTATGGTGATGAGAAAACTTATGATGATAGCCCAAATATTAATAGAATAATGACCTTCGCTAGAGGATGGTAGAGTGGGTTTTTATTCTCAACAAAGGCTTCCATGTATTGAGTTTGGTTGAGCTATGGAATGGAAGAACCCAACCTGACCAGTGAATAGCAGTAAAAAAGTAGCATGGGCCACAATTCCAGTAAAGAGGCTAGGATTGCATTTTCAAAGTTTGAGAAAGCACAAAGCAAAATCCTAACAAAATCAAATTAATAAATTCTAGGAGTGCAAACTATAAATATGAACAATATATTTCAAAAAAGGAAGGATACTCCTTTTGCCTAGATACCCTTAAAAAAAACCATTCAAGAGATTGTTTATCTCATCAACCAAAACGTGTTGACTGGCTAAGCAGGCAACTATGACAAGGATTTAGGTCCTGTTCAGCATCTAAATCTAATACCGTCATTGACGACATAATCCCAAGGTCAGCATTGATTTCAGTTTCCAAAGGGAGTTTACTTCTTCAGCCCTGCAATTGGGCTCTTCACATGGATGAAAAAGAAGAGATTGAAGAAGTGTGTCATCAACCAAAATCTATGAAGCATAGCTACAGAAGCGGGACATGGGCATGACTCGATACAGACAGGGTGATACCGCAAATCCCAAACAAAAATAAGACACGGATACGACAAGGATAAATCAAATAGTAATAGTAAATTTTATTATTATATAAACAAAAAAATAATTCTTTCTCATTTTATCCACATTATCATGAATGAAATCACTAATTTGGAGGTTAGAGAGCTAGACATGTTAACGTTTATTATTTTTGTTTTCTAAAACTTTATATTATATTTCTAATAAAGCCATGAGATATTTAAAAATTGCATGGTATTCCATTCTAGTCAGAAAATAATTCTAAAATTACCCTGTTGTGTCCTAAACATGTCCCTGCCCTTTTCAACCAGAAAATAATATTCAAATTCTAGGACACTTCTTGCCATGTCAGACACATGTCCGGCTGGGTTTGACTCATGTTTGTGTGTGGTGTGTCCGAGTGTCTAATTCCACCACAACACCCTCAGGAGACCATGCTTCCAAGATCAAAATAGTAAAGATATTTGACCTCCATTATGCTTGAAACCAAGTTAAAAATATAGTTCTTAACACAAACTGAAAAATTAGGGACTATTTGGTTCAGTTTTCTAAAAACAATTCTCAAAACTCAGAAACAGATAATTGTGTTCAGAAAACTATAAAAGACAATCCTGTAAAAACAGACATTTTTTAACTGAGTTTTCATAAACTACAACCAAACAAGTTGTTATACAATTTTCTGATTTCCAGTATCCTGAAAACAAAAAACCATTCTCTGAAAACCGAACCAAGCATGCCTTAAATTTCTCAATTTGTTCAAAGCAAATCATATTCAATTAGAGCTTTACACATTGTCATCCCCTTACTCCATTAGAGACCAACCATTGGGTCTTCAAATTTCTTATCTTTTTTACATTTCCTAACCATAAGGCAATGTGAAGTAATATGGTATAACGCAAATACATAATACTCAAAACAAGCATATCAACTTATATAGTGAATCATATTAGTTGGGAAAATATGTATGATATTACAACAAAAATTCCTACTTGATGTCAATCAAAACAAAGGAAGAATTCGACATGATTGCTTTTCTAGGAAGCACTTAAGACAGTGTGAAGTGAGAAAATAACAATGTAATAAATAATCCCAAAATAATTATAAACCCATACAAAATGGAAAAAGAGCATTCAGAAAATAACTGACCTTTCTGTTTTTCTTCCTTTTTGGAATTGGGATTTTCGGGGTTGTCCTTGAGCTTTTCGATATTGGCCAGCTGAGCCTGTCTACTCTGCTCCATTTCATCGAGCAGCTTGTCCTCAATCGAAGTATCATATGCTTTCCCTTCACCAAAACCGCTTGGCTTGTTTTCAAGCCACTCCTTCATATTCCTCAATGGAACAAACACCTCTTTGTCGTCGTCATCGTCGTCATGGTTGTCATCTTCGTCCTCACCATCATCACCAACGGCATCCATTTCCAAGAGGCTATTGCCCCCTCTTCTTCGACCCTTTACTGCGTTCGCACACAGCCCAGTACGCGTTTGGCCAGGAACATCACAAAAACCGAATTGGGTCACTCGGTTTGAGCAAAAAGAGAAATGGGTTTGATAGGTTTTTCTAGGGAAAAGAAGGGATTGTGATATGGGACTGTGGGGGATGGTATTACACGGCGGTGATGGTGGAGGAAATCCTCCTAGGCTGAGCATTGCCGGCGGTGCAAATAGGTCTCGCCGCTGCTGCAACGCTATGGGAAGTTGTATGTGTGCAATTTGGCTTATCATTTAGAAACTTCTTTCTCAGATTCAGATGTTGTAGCATACGTATCTTCATAGATGAGCTCAGCCGAGTGAGTGCAGAGATGGATTTTGAGAGATAAGTGATGACGTCAGTGCAAAAATTGATGTGTGCAAGGATGGGTCTTTAATTTGCAAACGGGCCAAGCCTATTAATTTTCATGGTTGGGCCTAATTGATGGGCCTTTCAGACTTGGGTAATAAATGGCCACACCTTAGGGCGACATGAGCACAATTTGAAATGAGGGCCTGGAATCTGGATTGAAGTGCCTAATGTCTTATTTGCTAATTGGATTTTTTTTTTTTCCTGGCAAAAGCAACGCCGTACGGTATCTACAAGAGACAAAGCAAACCATACACAAACCATATCCAAAACAAACAAATGAAACAGAGCGTAACTGATATAACATACAAGACCATAAGACCCAACAAGGCAGGACCACAAGACCCGCAACTAGAAACAGAGCCTAACTGATATAACAAATATAGTGCAACACATAGATAATGAGGCGCAGAGAACAAGCTTGGATTGAGCCCATCCATGGAGTGGACAGCAACAGTTGATGCCAAAAAGAAGAAGCCGAACGCACAATAACAGACTGGATAAGCACCCTTTTCCGCACCAGCACCAGCTAACACCGTAAGAACACCTTAATCGGAGAACACCCTAATCGCAGAACACCGGGAGAGCGATAAAGCAGCCCCAACACCCAAGACTGCAACAAGTGAGAAATATCCCACAAAGGGATTTGAGAAGTAATGGCATGACCAATAGAATCCAGTGAGGAGCATGTGTTCCCGTGAAGGAATTATTTAAAGGGCTCCCAATAGTGATAGCCTCAAGGCCATGAACAACGAACAACCAGAGCGGTATACACCAAAGGTGAAGGACTTTGGTCTCATCAAGACTAAAATTATCGATGCCAGTGTGGTGGATGTGGGGTGGCGTCCAAGCCCAAACCAACGCCGAGGCAAGACAGACACCAATAGAACACACACAGAAAATTAGAACTAAAAAAGAAACAACAAACATAATACTTGGATCAAAGGGGAATAGTGGAACACGACACCCAAACATTGGCCAATGGATGGCTCGAGAAGGACTTATCATAGTAGTAGCCTCATGGGCCAGGTCAGAGAGACAATTAGCATGAAGAGTTCGACCCAACAGTCGACCCAACAACAATTGGGCTTGTAATTGGACCAACCCAATTCCAAAAAAGGAACAAGTAGTGGAGTTAGTGACCACAAGTTTAGTCAAGAGGAACAGTGAGTGTAAACGTGGGTTGAACAACACAGCACATTCCTGCCAAACGTCACCTCTACACGTCACAAAATTAGTCAAGATAAACTTAGACGTGTGAGGGAAAAGAGGACACGTCTCCGGACACCATGCAAACCAAGGACAACATGAAGGCGAAGGAAAACGTGCCGGAATGGATGGAGAACACACCGGCAAAACCTTATCATCGGAGAATCCATCAACAAGAGATAAGCACCTCCAAGCATGACGAGAAGCGAAACAACCGCTCCCCAGAAACACGCCAGTCATATGACAGATTCCGTTACCACTCCCCCATAGACCATAAATCACGATAGCTAGAAGAAACAAAAGGAAAGTCAGATTGTAGACATGAAATCGTCCAACGCAATACCAGAACCCTATCCACCCCATCTGGGAGCACTCCCACAATCGGAGTCGACGACGAACTTCGACCAACAACCAACACAAAATAGAGGAAATAACACATACCAGACCACACCGCCAAGAACCCACCTAAACAAAGATAGAAATTAGAGACCACAACAACACTGGAAGAAACCACCAAGCCCACAAGAAGAAAACCTCACGAGTAAAGCGAAAATGGAAACGCGAATAGCCGGGAACAAGCATCACGTGCAACCCACAGCAAGATCACATAACAACAGCACCAGGAAATAAACTCAAAACTCTGACCAGACTGAGAAACTCAGCAGAACTGAGAACTCTCAGGAGAGAGAAAAGGGCAAAAAAACTATGTCATGTTAAAGTAACATGTGTAAGAAAAATGACTTTGTTGGTTTTTTACTTTTTTTTCTACTAAAATTATTATATATCATTTTCCTTTCTCTTCTTGTATTTTGTTCCTAACTAAATTTGTCATTCTATATTTTTATCCTCCTATTTAATCAAACACACTATTAAAAAAAAAAAAAAAAAAAGAAAGAAAAATATTGGAGATAGATTTTTGTGATGTTGGTAAACAAATAGTAAGTAAGGAAGTATCACTTTACTACAAGTCTACAATCTTGGTTTTTTTTTTTTTTTGTAGGGTTAATTACAATGACACCCCTGAGATTTGTTATAATAACAGTCATATATAAGTTAAGCTTTTTTCGAACAATGACACCCCTTGTCAAAATTTGAATCCAAACAGCCCTTTAAAAGAGGTGAATTGTCAAGATTGTCCTTTAATATTTTATTAAATTAAAATGTAAAATATCAAAACTCTTAAATGGCAATTTGCCCTTATAACCCATAGTACACCTCACCACACACTGTGTCCCCTCTCTCCTCTCACCTCTCACCTCATCCATCAGAAATGGGATCCCTGAAAGTCGTGATAGAGTTTCTGATTCATATAGAAGTGGTAATTCCAAAATAGAAAGAATCTAAATGAAACCTACAATCTCATCTATTTTCTCTATTATTAGTTTAACATTCATACCCATTCCAAATTAAGGCAGCAAATCTCTAGCGAATTAAGGCAGATTCCAAACGATTGTTCCACCAGATCATGTTATCAGTTGTACAATCCATCAACAAGCTCATACGTTTTGGGCAAGAACGACGTCGAAAGAGATCTCGGTGAATCGCCGGTCATCACAGATCTTGATGCATCGTCGGTCATCACAGATCTGAACTTGCTGGCCGTTGATTCTACACCGGCGGCGAAGCCATCGCCGTCGCACCTAAACCAATTAAAGACCATTAATACATATATACATACACTGAGGCTGTGAGCCCTTTTGATCCCTCGATCGACAGGTCCAGCGGGAGAGGAATCCCATTGACCGAATCTACGCTCCACTTCTTCAGATCGTGAAGGTTGCGATGGTGTCGGTGCCGCCTCTGCTGCGGCCACCGTTGAAGTTGTGCCCGGACGATCTTGAAGGCGTATATATATATATATATATATATATATATATATATACACACACAAAATTATTGGTTTAACATACATACCCATTTTTAATAGGTTTGATTTTTCTTTTTGGTTTGATATTTTATTTATTTATTTATTATTATTATATAAATATTATATTAGGGTTAAAAAAGTAATTTCATTATTTATATAGGTCAACACATATGTCAAAGGGTAAAAATGTCAATTTATTATGTATCAGTTGTAGCAGTGCAATTGGGATGTCTTTGTAAACTTTATCTAAACTAAAGGGGTGTCATTGTTTAAAAAAGGTTCAATTTGTATATAACTGTCATTACAGCAGACCTCAGGGGGTGTCATTGTAATTAATCTTTTTTTGTATTACTCTCTTGTCCCAAAATTCTATGATAGTGATTTTTAATACTCTTTTTATTGTAGTGATAATGAATGAATTTTCAAATTTATGTTTATTAAAAGATACTTCGAATCAAATCAATGTGAAAATGAGTAGTTTGGGAATGTTCAAAAAAAAAATAGTACATCTATTTGGGACATGTATTTTGGGAGCTTCCAAAATAGAAAGATGGTTAAGAATTTTAGGACTAATATTTAAACCTATTTTTTAACTATGATATAAAGAAAATATATACTTATATATGTAGATATTTTTGTGTCTCTAATATGCAATGGTAGGAAAAGCAATAAGATTGCCAACGAAACACCCTTATCATGAGATTCTCCTTACTCAATTTAGAAGTTCTCAATCTAACCGCTGCACGACTCTCCCTTGATAGATTTTTTTCCGAGAAAAAGTTATCGAAAATTCAGTGTGGTCATGATATGCAACAACTACATGTAACTTCAAAAAAAACAACCTCAAGTCCTAAAAATCGAAAACTCAGTGTGAGCTTTCATCATAGTATGTGGTAATGGTATGCAACAAACACATGTATCTATAAAAATAAGACTACAAACTGGCCTACAAATATGGGCCCTAGCCCCAGACTCATTAATAATGTTACAGTGAAAGGATAGGACTGGGCCAAAACAATTCCACTTCCCTGTCCAGAACGTGGGCTTCAGGGGGCCCATATTACATATCAAACTCTCGAAAATCTAATATTGCTGTGATGATTTACACGTTTTCAAAAAATTAGAGGGTGTAAAGTGGACAATATCGATTTTTTGTGAACCTTAACATCACAATGGAATGGGCTCTATTGTGACAAAACACAGTATACTTGGTAAAAAAACAACCCCCTTTTTTGGACAAGACTTGACTCACCAATGCGTAGGTCATTCCTACTTACTGTTTATTAGTTTTTTAAATTTTGTAATTATGAATTATTTGTACATTTTTTATTGGACCACATCAGCCTTAAGTAAGAATGACCTATTCATTGGTGAGTAGGCAAGTCTTATCATTTTTAATTAAGTTTTTAAAAAATTGTCACCCAAATAATTTTTTATACGATTCTTTAATTTTCAATTCTGATATATATATATATATATGCACAGTTGATAGATATTTTCCGAGAAAATGTTATTGAAATTCCTTGCGGTCGTGGTATGCAATAACTACACACGAATACAAACGGGCCTACAAATATGGGCCCGAGCCTCGGACTCATCAATAATGTTACAATGAAAGGATAGGACTGGACCACTACAATTCACCTCCCTGTCCATAACGTGGGCTTCACGGCCATACAATATATCTAACTCCCCAAAATATATACACAAATATTGATTGATTAAAGTCTCAAAACGGAGAGCGTATAAATTGAACAATGTTGATGTTACTAGGAATGGAAAAATAATCCGTAAATTCGGTTTGATTCGGTCCAATTCGTGTGGATCAGATCGAATTGTTAAACGCACGAATTGGCTGCGGATTTTAAAAAATTGAAT